GCAATTTTTTTTGATGCGTCAGCCGACCAGCCCTTGTTTTTGTGGAGTCGGGAATGAATCAATCAAGGGAGAGGGAGGCAGCATTACGGTGGTTGAAGCTTTAAGTCTGGATGCCGGCATGAGCTGACTTTTCAAGGCAGGCCATAGCAGTTTTGAATCCGAAAAAGCTGGAAAACTCCCGTCTCCACAGGCGTTGACGCGTTGAAAGACCAGCTCCTGGGCGGTGCTGTCAATTGGTCGCAGAAGTCACATGAGCCATAGTCTAAACTCCTTAAAGGGGGTTATAAAGGGGATTATATAGGGGACTACTATAGGGGTTATTAAGGGGGATACTAGGAGTTTAGACTATAGCTCACATAGGTTTGTTCTTCCTCATGCTTTTGATTTGCAATTCCTCACAGACAGTTTTGCGCCATCCCGCCAGCAAGAACATTACGCTGGGTTCTAAGTTGGCGTACACCACTACGACAGCGCGTGAGAGGGTTGGACTTTGGTCGCGACGACCTCATGTGGCCAACTTGCCTAAGGGTTGAGCTTTGGGAAGTTTGCTTGCAAGACTTATGATTGAGTCCCTTGTCATGAGGCTTCTGCATTGTGATCTAGATGAGCTAATTGTAAGTCTGCTGTTATTTCAAAGCACACCTCAACCTTTCGTTCACCAATCGTTTTCGACATAGCAACTTCTGGGAAAGGTTAGCAGCACCATGCAACCCCAGCAGCCTTTCACACCCACATGCCAAGGTTTACTTCTGCTTGGTGATGATTGCGGCGTACCTCTATGTGAGTCTTGGCCTTGTTGGGGCTGACATTTATTCAGGATGATCCGGATACAACCACAAGACCTCACTTCTCAGGAAGCGGCCCGAGACTTCCCGCATACTTTCCCCAGGCACTGCAACCAAATAATAAGGTTTTACCCATTACTGAGGCCACACCGTTTTGCCCAAAAAACCGAGCTATTGCCGTAAAACCTAAACCCAACCCAACAGATGCAAGTGAAGAATAAGACCTTTTTTGGGCCCTGGAGTCTACTCATTGTACTTGCTTTGAGCTCACTGGATCCCTAAACCCTAAAGCCCAGAAGCCTGGAGCCATGGTAACCAACCTCAGCGCCCACACCCAGGAATTATTGCCACTACCCGTACCCAGTGCTGAAGAACCAGCCGCAAGTGACCCGAGAGGGCTTCACTTTCAGCCTCTGGGAGCCTCCCGGTCTCAAGCAAGAGATTAGGGTTTAGGGTTTAGGGTTTAGGGTAATGTAGATTCCGAAGCAATAAAAGAGAATGAAATGAAACAACACATGGAAACAGATACGTTATATGTATATGTGGTTCGACAAGAAAGTGAACAATACAATGGAAGCAGGGCTCATACAGGGGCCTATAGGGATTGCTAGCAGTATGATGGTTCTAGATCATTTGTATACTTGTGGAATAGGGTAACAATATTTGGCAATAGTTAGGCGCTGGCAGTGTACTGGACGTCGCGGGTTTGGGACACGAGGGTTTCTGGCCTGAGGTTTAGGAATTCAGTTTTTTGGTGGACTCCATGCTCAGGGCTGGAAGTGACTCATGATCTAAACTCCTTAAGGGAGGTTATATGGG